CTCGGCATGCAAATGCTGCTGTATCTCCATAGGAGGACACTCAAAACAACAGTCCTCTTAAATACTCCACTCGTTGTAAGTAAAAGGAAAACAAGGATCCCGGCTAAAGTAGCACAAGCGTTGTTATTGTATCTAGGTCAGAAGAGTGCAATATTCTCTAGTCCATATGCAGTTTCACAGCTGTGCTTTGGATGTGAGGCAGCAGTAGTAGCAGGAGCTGTTCCACCTTAATGTACTCCTTACAGCACTGCCATATGGAAATAGGTTCTCCTCCTGTTTTCAACAATAACAGTCATTATGTTTATCGCCTCTTATCCCACAACACATGTACTTACAGTATAAGAGGAAGAAAAACACACATAAGGAACACGAGCAGATGGATACAGAATAGGACAGAAAAAAAAGAGTAATTTAACAGTGAGAGGAGGGGAGCCAAGATGGATAATGATGCAGAAAAAGGGGATGCATGACAGAGATACACATCTTATTTTGCGTTTACCTGACAGGGAATCAGAAGACATGCTCTCTTGCTGCTGCATCTTGAATGTTGGCTCCAGTGTGAGACTGTGTGTGAGTGTGTGTGTGTCCACAAGCCACAGAGTGTGAGCAAGCCAGCACGCCTCACTGTGTGTTTTGATGACGGAGTCCGCGTAGCAGCTGAGGGAGTGAGCGAGGGAGCATCAGAGCCAGGAGGAAGGTACAGAGGGAGAAGGAATTGGATTCTTCTGCACCTCGCCAAGTGTCACCAATCTCATTCTCAATTTCTCTCTTTCTCATTCTCATTATCTGGGAGTGTGTAAGTCTTGCGCAAAACACATGGACTGCAGATGGTGATTTATGAGGTACACAGAGGCAGGGAGATGGGAGGAGCATGAGGAGGGAGAAGAGGAGGTGCTGAAGAGAGGAAGGAAGCAATCACCTTGTAGTGTAAGCTTACTCTCTGAGGCACTGAGCCATTACTTGTCCCTCCCTTCAACGTTAGCCTGCCACGCAGAGCGCTAAACCAATTCAGACCTTACATGTACCACAACATCAGTTTGGCTGTGTGTCAGAGATCTATCTTATCTGAATTTGTAGCCAGTAAATGCCACTATGTTTGCATAAGATTAATCCACACATTACAAAGACCTACTTCAGAGCAGAGTCTACTTGTTATTAGTCCAAAATTCTTAATAATATTGTCCTTGACTGCATGTACAATGAATTAAAGGCGTCTTTTCCACTTGATTAAAACCCTGTATCTATTAGAGGACACGTTTTGTACTTTATGTATTTCTTATGCTAATACTTTCTAGCTTAACTTAATTGAACTGTTTTAATTTACACTTTTTCCAAAACAGTGTAATTATGCATACCCACACACAAGCCATTCTGCATGCCTGGTTGTATACCTTTTTTTTCTTCTTTTTTTTAAAGGAGCAGTAATGTTTTCCATGGATTTCACAGAGCGTCACTTCTTGGACTCAATTATTCAATTAATGCTGATTTATTTGGTCAATTTCATATCCCTCTTGGCATCACTTCAATATCCGTTTTCAGAAGTGTGTCCATCTTAATAGGGTCACAGTGTTAATCCTTGTTCTCTGCTGCATACATACGTACTTTCACTGCTCTCAAATTGTATTCACGTCATTGCTTCCCCTTGTTTCTCTGCTTATTATGCACAGCATTCATCTTCCATTTAGGCTATGTTTTGTTTTCTTTCTACTTTGTATTGTACAGAAGGCACAGCAGGAGATTTAGAGCTCAAAGCTTCTCTTCCACTGTAGCAGGTAAGTCTAACGATGGCAGTGAACATGGCCACATCCGGACAAGTGGATCCATGCAACAATATGGTAAATATAAAAACTCATTTTCAACCTATTTAAAATAAACCCATCTTGCTCTACTGTGTGATAAATATATATATATATGATAAAATACACAGTGACTCTGAAAATGCAGAAAATATATAATTTTATTCAAAATTATGCATTAAGTTAAAAGAAAAAAGTAGATCATGTGCTATTGGAAGCAGTTATTGGATGCTGAATAATCACTCATCTGTCACCTCTACAGGAGAGAGCATCTTTCTGTTTGGAGTAGCTCCTCCCAGTCCATTACTGAACTGTCAGCTGCTCAAAATATTCCTCCTACTTACAATGAATTCTCCCAAACTCCAGCCTCAAGATTGTGCCACTCTGCAAAAGGATGGCAGCAGCACTTCTTGTCACTAAAATTGTACAGATTAAGGTTTGGGTTACTTCAACATCTAAAATATAAAAAAAGAGCAAGCATGATCACTTACAGAAACATAAATACATATTGACATGATGGAAGAATATACTGGTAAACACACAACATGTTAAAAGCAGTATATGTTTATGTTGATTTGGAAAAATATGTTGATAGGTTGCTAAAATAACTTGTTGACACGCACAAACAGTCTGTTACATGTACTTGAAAGTGATAAAAACACAATAATATAATATACTACAATATTAAAATACATTCAAAAGAGCCATTGTTCATAATGAGTACATTCACTTTTGATACTTTGAGTACATTTTGTTGAATACTTATGTGCTTCTACTTAAGAAACATTAAGATTAAATAACTTTGACTTGTAATGGAGTATTTTTAGACAAACTATGTATAATTTCACTTAAGTAAAGGATTTAAGTACTTCTTTCAGATGTGCCTTTTCCATACTAATAATGTAAGGGATAATATGTATAGTGTTGCCTGTGTTACCCATGACCATAACCTGCTTTGAAGCACAGTTTGACAACACTACAGGCCGACATTTGCAAAAACAACACACAATGGTTAGCTTTCCATTCTTGCTTTGTCCGATCAGAGAGTTGTGTGTGTGTGTGTGTGTGTGTGTGTGTTTGTGTGTGTTATCCTCAGTTTATTGGATTTCTCAGTGGGAGCATGTTATCAGCGTCTGTTTCTTTCAGATTAATTATCCTGTTCCTAACTCTGCATCCCACAGAGAATTTAATGACACATATATGTTTTTTTCTCTCTAGTTGCCTCAACCAATTAGGCTTGAATTAACTGTAGAAGGTCTTTACAGAATTACAGAGAGTACAGTCGAAAGATAATTAATAGTGAGAGAGTTTATATTCAAAGGTTTAATTATGTGTGTGCAGTGCTTATTAAGTGTGGTATTAATTATAGCAATAATAGTGATACAAATATAGGAAAGACACATTATACTTTTAGTCAAATTAAACTTCAAGCTCACTACAAGATTGAACGTCGTTTCATATTAAGTATTACTACAAAACCTCTTTCAAACTAGTTCTTGGTAGTAGTTGCAGCTTACTTCTCAACCTTGAATGAAAATATTGGGCTGGGAAATGAGCAGATTGTGTTTTTGTTATAGTATCTGACAAAAAAAGATACTGCAGTAATATAACAGGATCTACATGTTAATGTCTAGAAACAGTGTTTTTTATGTCCTTGAAACACCACCATCTAGTGAACACCTAACCAAATTGCAGAATACTTTTGATCTTTATGCAATATTCATATTACATCGGAATTCAATTTGTTATAGTCAACCATAACAACTCACAAAGGCATACTTCCTGTAAGTATGTATAGCCTGTGACATGGCTTGTACACACACATTGATGTGAATGGGTACACCCATACACACACAAATGCGCACATTCACACACGCCATCAAATGGCCTGATCCCAGGAGCTGATGCGGAGGATTATTCTGGCTCTACAGACACAACACACGAGTGAACCCGGTCTGCTGTTTCTTTGTTAGGGCCTCATGCCGGAAACACTTTTCTGCAGACTGAGGATTAAAGTTTACTTTTGTATAATGAGGTAAGCATGCAAGGCTGACCTGTAACTGCAAATACAGTATGGCTTGGTGTAACAGATTTATTGTAATGTATATTAGTTTTTTTAGTTTTTTTATTAAACCTCTGTGGTCATGTATCAAAGATCCAGTTAACAAGATAAGATAAAATAAAATAAACCTTTATTATTTCCACAGTAAGAACTTTTTCAGGCAAGCCCTGTAACGCACACGTGTATCAGAGTGTTGATTGTTTGTTTTTGTTATTCAATTTAAGTTATTTAGCCAGGCTGCTCTGATCAGCATCAGTCCCTCATTATACATACAAAACTATATAATGTTTTATATATTCATGATAAAAACAATGGAGAGAAATTGTCAAAATGTACAATAACGCAAAAATGTTGTCAGTCACATCTGTTTGTTAATGTATCGTCAGTAGTACTGTGTAGTTTTCTCTGAGGTTCTACAAGGTGGTATTAAATGTTGTATTGGTACAAACAGGGCTAACCTGGAGTAGAGTTGTACTGAAATTCAGCAGTATTGTTCTTTTATGACACACCTTTCACTACAATTCTATTTCTCAAGGCAGACAGTTGTGTGCCGCCTTCCAGTAAAGGAAAAACTATTATTATATTAATCGTTTAAACCATTAAACCTGTAAGGCAAACCTCAATGTTTGTTAAAAGGAAAAGAGATGTGTCATCTTAAAAGAATACCTAAGTAAAACTAGACCAAATAAAATAGAATATAAATGTAAACGTGATTAAAATAGAGGAGGAGATGGTTCATCAAATGCCACTATTCAAAGATTACTGCTTTTAGAAGACAGTATCTGTATAAACGCTTCAGCAATGTGTGGAGGAAACTTCTGTGTAGCAATGCATGGAGTCCCCGACTCAGGAAGGAGACACGGTGAGAGTTGGAGCTTTAATGTCAAACACTGATGGGTTTATTCAGAGTATTCGGCCGGAGGATTCACATCACAAATCAAAGAGTCAGAGGTTCTGACTTCACGGTAGAGTTGCCACGTCAATTCTGAAGAGCCTCTCTCTATGCTAGACCTTTTAACTGGTTCACAGAGAGTAATCAACATCTCTGAAGGAGTAGACTAAACAGCTGGGAACACTGAGCCACCTGCGTCCGACACTCATGGCTTCAAAGATTTCACATCTTAGAGTCCACAAACACCGATAAAGAAGTGCCTCAGCGCTCTCACAACAATTACCCTTCGTGCCAGACAAGTTGACCGGTCACAAACTGGTAACAACAACACATATGGCACCAAGGCCTTTCCTTAAAGGAGATAACAGACGTCAGAGTAGATCATAAAACGTCACAGAGCAAAAGGTTAGATATCTAGAAGAATTATTCCTTAACACAATGTATATGCAAAAATGCATTGATGTAGTGAATAGTGAGGACTAAAATGCATGATACAGGCTGGTGATTCCTGTACTGATACCAATATTATTTTCTAAATCTAGACAACTTGGAGTGTATTTAACCAATGAGTTTACTGAGAATCCCTTAGCTCAAAGCTGAGGTACTGTTATCGTTAACACCAGATTAATATACTTTGCAAACTGACTTAAAACTGACTGGTCACCTTGGAATATGTTTGTTTGAGGTGTCTTGTATGTCTTGTATGTTACCTTCTGAGAATGTGGCACAACATACTTTAAAAAGTGGAAATCAAATCTCCACAGTAGTAGTGGAATTTGCTATGAAAAGGTCAGAGCAACAAAAAGTATAAATGTCATGTATCGAACTAGTGTTGCTTTCTGAACCCTTCGATCCAAAGCCTTCAAACATCAGCCTGTACACATGGCTCATTTTCCATGTTCAGCTGCAGTCCATGTAGAGGTTTGCTTTGATTTCACAAACGTATCAGTCGTCTGGAATGGCTTCATCCATCCACTTCATGTAAGCCAGACTGCCGTCCTCCACCAGGAAGCTGAGGACTTCTGGGTTAGCGTAGGGATGGACAGACCTTGAAGGGACACAGACAAATACAAAATGATACATACATTTTATTTATAAAAGATAAACACTACAGCAAGAACACATATCTATACGAGGCAAGGCAATTTTAGGCATAAGAAAATATATAAAAGAAACACAAAGCAGTATAAAGAGAATATGAAGACACACAATAGTCCCTTGGTGATATCGTTAAAAACTCTGTGTCTGCAAAACTAATATGATGTTTTTTCTAATCTTTGCATCTAAATATTGAACAGAAGAGGCCCTAGGATGGAGCCTTGGGGGACTCCATTTTATGTTCCTTCAAAAAGGGATTCAAACCAGTTTAGCACTGTGACAGAAAGTCCCACAGAGCTTTCACTATGTTGTGGCTGACTGTGTTAAATGCAGCACTGAGATCTATTGATAAGAATGAAGCTTTTCAAAAGTCTGTGTTTAAGCAGATATGATTCAAGACCTTAACAAGAGTAGTCTCAATGCTGAAGTGTGGTCCACATTCTGAGTACAAATTGTTTATTGTTGTTCCAGCTTGGAACGTGTAACGCTGTTAAAAAAAACACTTTAGTTCATTAGAGAGTTGTCTAGATTGTTCTTTTTCTAAGTTATTAGCACATGTAAGAAAAAGCCTGGGAGTAGAGAACTGTTGACTATTTGCAGATCTGATGCCATGCAGTCAAAATGATTAATGAGAAAAGCCTGTAGCCAGAATAGCAAATCAGCAGGAGGAAGACTTCAAATGTTGCATGATTTCCTCCAAGGTTAATGGTTGTGTCATGTTCAAATTGTGGTGCACTAATTGAATTGGTGCATGCAAGGACAACTCAGGCCCTGTACCTGGAGAAACTAGCAGCGTGTCTAATTTTATGAATTATGTCAGTGTGCAAGGAGAAATTCATTAAATTATTAAGTGGATAGAATACCACTATTCTATCCACTTAATCATTTAATGAATGTATCCTTGTACACTGATGGAGGGTTTGTTGAGAGCAAATAAATGACATGTATTATTATTCATTTTGGCAATTATGTCAAAGAAGAAACTGCCTTTCAGTACTTAGACGGATCCATCAGCTGCTGACATTGAGGCGCTAAAGCTGCTGCAACTGGGCGCATCCTCCATGGCCTGATAGATGGGTGTTTCACGCTAATCCAGAAAGGGTCCATAAGAACCATTGGCTTTAGATCTGCTTCAGTGGAGGCCACCTGTCCTGAAAAGAGGCCTACATCCCCAGAACAGATTGAAGGTATCAATAACTTTGATTCTTTTCAGTCCGCAGGTTTTGATATAAGTCTGTTGAACCTTTTGATCCCTCTGTTGGCAGTGGTCCAGTAATACAAAATAAAACTGGGTTATCAGTGTGTCCATACGGTTATTTCTGCAAATATCTCTGGACCCCAAAATGTTCTCTTTTGTGTTGCAGACCATAGCACCTGGAATGTATTATGTTTTCTTAACCTTTGCCACAATGTGTTTTGATTTTAGCTTGGTTTATTTGTCTGTATGTCTGTCTGTCTGTCTGTCTGTCTGACAGCAGGATTACTAAATAAAAGAATGGTCTTATTTTCACGACCCTTGGTGGAAGGGTGACGCATGGTCAAATGAAGAACCCTAATACATTTTAAAGCGAGTAAAAATCAAGAGGTGAGCACAAATTATGTTGTGTTTAAAACTAGTTTCAACTGCAAATATTCACATGAATGCCCCGTCATGTCAGCACAACAGCTCATTCAACATGTTTTTAAAGTGCTCTGAGTAATAACATACAAGACATCTTCTTTTTGAGCGTCCATGCCTTCTTCCACATTATCACAGGCTCATCAACACACCAAAGTCGGAAAAACAACTTCCTAACTCGGGAAATGGGACCATGAATGGTGAATGAACCAGTCTTCGAAGAGATTTCCCTCTTTCTACATGAGACATCTTCTCTTCATTTCCTATATTATTTTTTGTGTTAATGGGGTAAGTGTGTTCCTCGTGCCCACCATTGGCTGTCCAACAGATGTCCTGGGTCCAAGTTAGCTCTACTAAATCCATACATTGTGCCATCTGTAGGAGTACAACCTTGTACTTATTTATGGCTTTTGAACACAGATTATTCCAGCAGGCAGCAATCAAATTCATTGCACATGAATTCACTGGTTTTGTCTCGGTGAGGCTAAGGAAAGGTGTGGTGTTATTAAAAGATAGCTGTCCATCTTGTCGAGTTAAGAGGCAGAAGACTTTGGAAAAGTGCCAGGCGTTCAGAAAACTTCTCCAGCAAGATTATACTTTTTATCAAGCAATCTTGGGCAACAGTTTAGGACAATCTGTGCTCTTCATCGATTGTGATAAGCCAAGAGGTATATTGCATTCCTCAAGAAAACTTTGTCAGTGGACCACTAAGTTTCTGTTTGGGGCACGCTCATTTTGTGGGTAGTGTTGCATAATAATAATCCTCCCTAAATATTTTAGTAGTAACAACAAGTCATAGGAAACTTCCTTAAAGGTTTTAGTAAGAAAGTAAGAAAAGTATGAAGAAGTCGCACAAATATCAGCAAAGCAGAAAGGAAGTGAGAAGCGCATCTGCACTGTAGCAAAGCAGGAAGCAGCAGTCATTAGGAGTTCCTGTTGATTTCAATTATTTTCAACCTGGACTTTTTAACTCAGAAAGATGCCACTTCAACAACTTCGCACATGAACAAGTATAATCGTCTGATGATGCAATCACAAATGGCCAAACAGAAATGTGGATCATTAACTGCTTATGGCTTTTTGATGGTGCTGGAGAGGAATCAAGTGAAATCAGTACATTTACTAACATTAACAACTCAATAAATTACTCTTACGCACACCAACAGTAAATTCAGATCAAGAAAAATATATTTTGCACAACACTGTTGATTACAATGCTGTAATTTGTTGAACATACAGTCATAGCTTTTGTTGCAATAGAATCATTTTAAGTACATAAATAATATGGTCCAAGTTGAAAATAACCGCAACAACCTTTGAAAGCATGTCTACAGGAGCTCGCACAGATTTAACATGAAGTTAGTTTGAAACTTGGATAGTAATACAAATAAAGTTAATAACTGTTACATAGAGCAACCTCTCACCTTACAAAATCCATGACCTGCTGGATCCTTGAGGTCTTTGTTTTCACCAGCTGCAACAACAGCGACATCTCATTTTAGACTTCTGCAGTTTAACAGGAATTTCAGCATTCTTGTTGTGTATAGAAAAAGGACGTTGTTTGTCAGTAAGCTTACCATCAGAACTTCACTTGCATCTTGGATTTCACCCTTCCAGTAGTACCTAAAGAACCAGAAAAACCACTGACATTAAAAAAGCACCATTTACTGCACATAAGTAACTGTGAATTACTCTAGACTCAAGAGTGCCAGTGTAAGGGGCAGATCCTTGAATTGAGTAAAAAAGGTTTTGTAAAATGATTTCTGAAAGCTCTCAACATCAAACTGTGAAAAGCCATAATTATTATTGCGGCTGTGATTCACAGTGATGCCAGGCTTTTATGTTGCCATTTCTCTTGGATTGTGAAGGACAGTTAAAACCAAGCAGAAAACCTATATTTAAACATGTTAAATGGCAGAATAAAATAGGAATAAAACTACATGAGCCTAGATATAGCTGAAACTCCTTCAGTACTTAACTCACACATTAAAATCCATTATCACCTCCATTACCCCTAAACTACTGGAACCACATCCTCTATTTTTAGGCTAAACCTCTGTTCTTAACACGTTCTATGGCCTTTTCGGATGAGTTACTCTCCTCAGTTTCTCCTCCCTTATTCCTTTTGTGGTTTATGCATTAACAGAAAAGCTAATCCATGAATTCAAATGACCGCTTGAAGGCTATCTGCCACTCAAGCGGTGGAAAAACGGATAAACGCATTGAGATGCAGCCCATTCACCTTGTGATTTCCTAGGTAACCAGTCATGTAGGTCAGAGAAACAACACGTGTTTAAGCATTTCTATACATGTAAGCACTAAGATAGTCTGTTTGTTTGTGCCCCAGCTGGGTTCAAAGTTGTGTCATGGTAGGAGGTCAGTTTGATTTACATTGTAGAGGTCCTGGCGAGGATGTTGATACTGGCTGCCAGCCGCCTCTCCATAATCGCCCTGGAAAAAAGACAGAATAGTAGGGAGCATGGATGGAAACGTAGCGGGGTAGACATGGAAAAAGGAAAACGGAAAAATTAAACACTTACAGACCACCAGCTGTTTATCAATTACTGCATGAAACTGAGCCCATCATGTTGCTCTTTAAGCAGGCCGCAGGAAAGACTTAATGCACAAAAACTCTGAAAGATTGCAAACTTTTCTTTCTGCTGCTCAGCCGACAGTATTACCAGTTTAGTTTATTTGATCCGGACCAAGGGCAAGAAAGTTTACATTGTTGCATGTCAGTTAACTTGATGATTTGACAGTTTTGGCAACTGTCATCCTGCATTTTCAGGACAAAGGTGGGGACATCAAATCTCTGCTGACAGAAGTTTTTGCAGTACTTTGATGCTTTTGTCGATAATGTATTTAGATGTTCACACCTCCGACACACCACTTCATTCACTTTCATGTCTGTTAAGTTAATATGAAGCTTGGGGCAGCAGACGGCTAGCTTAGCTTAGCATGAGGTTGGCTATAGCTCAGGGGTTAGCATGATATACAAATCAGGGGGTGGGCAGTTTGATCTCACCTCCTGACAACATGTCAGTGTCCTTGGGCAAGTTACCTAACCCCAAATTGCCCCCGTAGGCATGTCTATAGTATTGAATGTATGTGGCTTTGGATAAAAGCCTCAGCTAAATAATATGTAATGTAATGTAATAAGGACTTCTGTGAGATTTGAGGAATCATTTTCACTTCTGCTTCACAGTTTAAACAAACAAGATATGAGATGATAAATAAATCAGTGACCTTAAGATGACCCAAAATGTTGCACTGTGCCTTTGAGCTAAATCATTTAACATCACTCATCAAAGCCATGTGTTTCCATTTGCTTAAACATCAATAATACATTCTTTAATCACTACATTCATGCAGACTGTAAAAAGTGACCTGCTCCTGTACCTGCCAATGTCTTTAGCTGCCAGTTCGTTGGGGCTGTTGATAAGAAGAAGGGAGTGGTGGCCTGGTGCGTAGCTCCCTGTGAAGGCTGAATGAAGCTGGACCCCAATGGACCACAACCCGGAGTACATGGACACGGACAGGACCAAGAGCTGTATAAATCAAATCAAATCAAAATGTATTATAGCCCCAAATCACAAAAAATGCCTCAGGGCTGTACAAAGCAAACAAAAGCAACTGACAAAAACAAAATACAAACGTCATAGCATAGTATAGAGAGGGTAGAATGCAACAAAGTGTTAAATAAGTCAGTTACAAGAGACTTGAATAACTTGTGTCTTGCATAATGTAATATGTGCAGCCTATCTGACATAAATTATTTGGACATGTTGCTGTTTCACGTTATTTCATGTTTGGACTCAGCAAAGTCATAACTCAATTTAATTATCTTCTGCCCTCTGAAAGGATTGCCATGTTTGGATTGGATTTAGTATTTATCCTCTTATTATTTGGCGCAGATAAATGAGTATAGGCCTTGGCTTGGACGCAGTGACCAATTTATAATCTGTCCTACTTCTCTGTACAGCACAGCACAGCACAGCACTGGTCACACCCAGAGCTGTGGGGTCAACAACATTTTTTCAGAATAAATGCAATTCATATTTTTTTTGCATTTTAGATGTTAACAAAAAAAACAAGTTTTCTAAGTTTTTAAGTGAGAATTGATTAAACTAAGTTGTAACTCTTACCAAACATGACATGAGGAGCACTGAGCGAAACCCAGAGAAAAAGACAGCTTCTTTATGGCATCGCTGGAACAGCCACTCCATCCTGCTAGTGGCAACAAATGTCATTCCCGGAGTCCGGTTGCTGCATGTAATGAGGGACAAACTTCTTTCATAAAACTGCTGAGACTCACTGCGGAGATGATTAGTGTTCCGTCATTTTTATGAGCATGTCTCCCCCGGTTAAACGGATGCTTTGTGAGAGAAAAACATTCAGAAATCTCATTACCTTTACACAAGAAGTGCATTGTGTTGACAGGTACTTGAGGTCGGATGGTCAAAGGCAGAGATAAATCTACGCGCACTGTAATTGGTTGCCTGACACTTCCTGACAAGTCGGCGACCAATCACATCGCCGCTTCACCCTCCGCTGCCCTGCCTCCAGGTCCGGGTCATAATCGGCTTTAGTGTCTATTTACCGTGTAAACACAACTTTTATAGACTCGCAGCGCACATTGTGAAGCTGGAAGCACACGAAATAAGTCACATTGCTTTCATGGATCTCCTTCAATTGTGGAAATTGAAAATAAACTGTCGTGATACATTATAGACCTAAAGATATTAAACTTGAACGATTTTCTTAATCAATGTAAATGGCAGTCACATACAATTCATATTGAATTTCAAATTCAGACTACATTATGTTTACACAGGAATCAGTAGCAATGTTTTTAAAGCCAAAGTCCACAAAATACAAGATTGTAAAGTAAATGATCTCCAGTGGTGGAAGAAGAAAGTAAAAGTAGAAACACTTTGTTCTTAAAATACTCTATTCCAAGTAAAAGTCCCAAATTGAAAATGTAACGTAAGTAGAAGTACAGAAGTATTATCAATAAAATGTACTTCAAGGAGCAAAAGTTAAAGTTATCAAAATGCATAATAGATATTTTTACAGTAATATATTATTTTAGAATATTATGTTATCTTGTTTTTATTACTAATAAGTGCATGCAGGGGCGTTTAAAGGCTTTCGTTTTTCAATGTGGAGCCTACTTATAACCATTTACGTAAAATACTAGGTAGCATAAAAAACTATAATAATAATAATAATACATTTAATTTCTAAGCGCTTTTTCAGGTGCTCTAAGAAACGTTACAGTGGTTTATTGTGTTACAATTACTCAAGTTAAGTACAAGTATGTCAAAATACTATTTAAGTACAGTACTTGAGTACATTTATTGAGCTGCGTTGCATCATTGACTCAATATCTTGTCCACTGCTTCCTACGATTTTACTGTGTTATTTTGCTGCTATAACTGTAATAACCAGTTTTAATCAATATGACGACACAATGTTTGGTCCACATATACCTTATTATTTATGCGTGGGAAAACAACACAACATAATCAACTGTCTTCACAAAGTCTCAATAGATTATGGGACATCCAAGACAGTAATAATGTAAATGATGCACATGTAAGGGAGACTTGTTGCAAACTAATGTAACTGCTAGAGTAGACTATGTATATTAGCCTTGATTGGCATGCACTAATTAACCCAGAAAACACAAATGTGTGTTTATTAGCAGGGATTATTCTGTAACAAGATGTAAACCAAAACACAGCACAGAAACAACACCTGAGTCAAAGAGAAATACCTCTGTCACCTCTTGTTAAAGTGAGAACAACCAGAGTTTCTGATCTCAGATCCAGTCTCTTGGCAAAAGTCCAATAAGATTCAAACACACATCTGTTGAAGGCACGCACACAGCAACACACCATCTCTGCCATACACTGGCACAACTTTCAGATGAGCTAAACCGAAAAGTCAAGCAACCAGCTTGGCTGCATACGAATGAGGAAGATTTAGACGAACTAGAATCTTTTACAAAAATGAATAATTCAGAGGTGGATTGTTGAAAAGAAAACAGACCAAGTGGATTCGGCCTGGCATTTTATTGCCAAACACCAGATGGGAAACTTGACGTGAGTAAGACAAATTAATCAATGAACTTCACGTAAGTCTTGCAGCTATAAAAAGTGTTGGTTATAAGATGGAATTTTAATGGGGTGTGTACTGACAAAAAGTCAGTTTCCAGAAGCTTTGGATGTTTAAATAAAGTGTTTCTACACCAGTTGTCCACATGGGGGAGATGTGGGTCCATGCATTTATCTCTTTATCCCCTCCTATCATTGTGAATACATACAATCCAGAGTGTTCATTCTATAAAACTCTCATCCACTGAAGGAAAATGTAAAAAGCTTCAACAAAGCAACTTGCCTGACTCATCCTAGTCCTTTTTTTTTTACCTGTTCCCCGCCAGACGTTGTCCCTCATCGGATACAACACAGATCACAGAGCGGACAGCAGGGGGCGCCAAGGGAGTCAGCTTCAGAACAAACCAATTTATTTCCCAAGCTCACACAGGCTTCATTTAAGAGTCCATCAGAGGGCTCCAATAGAGCCACTTAAGCCACTGTTCCCCAACATGAAAGAAGGCAACCAAAATAGAGGGATAGGAAGAAAGGCAGCGAAGAGGCGTTTGATCTGCTTGTTCTTGGGCATTACTCAGAGGGGTTCACTTCCGCTTAGGAGCGCTGAGGCTTGTTTGTCCCTTAGAAGTCTAATGTGAAAAATAAGATACATTTTATTTCTGTCGATGCTTCTTGTCTGTCTGTGTATAATGAGGCCACGAGGTCCACATTAAGAGCAGAAAAGAGAAAATGAGAGACGAAAACAGGAAAAGCACAAAGGCATCTGGCAAGAGGGGCCTTGCCTAATTCGCTGTTAAACTGTGACTGTCTCTTGGTTGGATCAATGAAGTTGCCTTGCTGTGAAAGAAAAATAAATCTATCAGGGAGATGAATAGAGTGAGGTGTGTGAACACGGACAGGGAGAGGTTATAGAGAATGGAAACTCCGAAGGTCTGCTGTATCGCCCTTTCTGTGAGGCACTGCCATTACTGCACTGGATGGGTGGTGGAGGGTGTAGAGACAGAGAGTGTGCTCTCTACTGGACACACAGAGGTCAGATAAGTCCTAATGAAGGCACTCTCCAGCCTGGGATTACCTCTAAAGGAAGAGACTGGTCCTCCCAAAGAGGTTAATTAAAAAAGTCGACGGGCCGAGCAGGGAAGTGTCTCCATCACCACGGTGAACTCCGGTGACCGCTCCATCTGTGAGCACAGGGCCATCCATCACTGCTGATTCCTGGCTCTGGCTCCTGTTGGTGCACTAAAAACACAGAAGTATATGTAGCAGCGCCACAACTCTGACAAGCAGCAGATATAAAAAAATATATTTATTACTGCCGAGATATCCCCTGCTCAAGTCCCTCAGGTAAGGAAACTTCTCCCCTCTCAGGGATCACACAAACACTGTATCCTCCCTCCATTCTGTCCAGCCATCTTCTGCTTTCTGCTCTCTATGTCACAACTAGTGGAGCACCCAAGGCTATTTATCAAAGCTGAACTGTCATGTTGTTTATTTCCTGTGTGCGCTCCAGAAGAGATTGCAAAAATAGATTACTTATGTTTGTTTAGCAACAGAAGCACACATATCGAAAACCGTTGGTAACCATGGAGAAAGAAGAGCATTACCTTCCTTTGACACAGCATGAAAGAATCAACCATCAATGGAAAAAATCCCTTCAGCAATCCCTTCTGAGAAGAAAGATTTGTCATCCCTATTTCCCTAGTAAGTGTAGACAAAGGTGTGATAGTGGGCAAAATGGTGAGACACAGTAAGGGATGGTGGACTGGGGGAGAAGAGGATAGACAGAGAGAAATGGAGCGTTTCAGTTGATTGGCTCTGAGAGAGGACAGAGAGCCTGGAGCAATCTTACAGGAAAAAGTTAAACATTTTCATAAATCTGTTCTCGTGGAGTTCACATGCAGCGGTGGGAGGCTTAAATCACGTCAAGCTTGATTGGTTGAGAGGGAGAGCCGAGCCTGAACGCGAGGAGGGGGGTGTTCACCTCCAATGCTGAAAACCCTGTGCTTCCTCATTACACTTTCCTCACCGAGCCGTCTGCAGCAGAACCATTCCTCGCGCTGACGCAGGTAGAATGAGCTCATTCCTTCTCCATTCACAAGCTGAGTGCACCCAAATTCAGAGAAGGGAGACGCATAATAAGTTCAGACTCCAAGTTAGAGTGCCTGCAGGCAATAAAGTGGAGGATGAACAGTGGAGACTTGATGGAAGAAGAGTGTGTGTGTGTGTGTTTGTGTGTTCGAAAAGGGGTTGCATCTGGAAAAAAGCTGCTCTCGACTGCACCATCTCAGTATTTATCCAAAACATTTTCCACAGGGAGGCAATGATTAAACACTCCTTTGAAATAATGAATCCATATTGCACACAGTTCTGGTGAGGATTCAAACAGCAACAGCAAACTGAACACAGTATGCACTCTCACGTTGAAAGCATACAAATATACAAACAATATTCCAAAAACATATAAACAAGCAAACTTTTTGAATGTTCACTCCTGCAGAAATTCCGTCTGCACAAGCAAGGTCATTTGGAAAAACATAGCACTGGAAAAAAAGCAGATGCGTTTATTGATGTGTAGTCCAATGCAAATCAAACTTTGAGCTGGGTGTATAGTTGGAGTGTCTGTGTGTGTGAGTGTGTGAGTGTGTGTGTGTGTGTGTGTGTGTGTGTGTGTGTGTGTGTGTGTGTGTGTGTGTGTGTGTGTGTGTAAACCTCAGACACTCGGAAAATGGCATTATGGAAATGCAGGAATCACCATGAAAAGGGCAGCCAGAGGCATGCTCAGGGCAAGATTTTATATACAGCACCTAATCAGCCAACCAACTGCCTGCGCTCCTATTTACCCTGTTTATAAGTCACCCCTAAACCTGCAACCACTTCATCTACATAATCTCATCTCCTCCCTCTTCATGTCACACAGTCAGCCAATTCCTAGTATCACATTTTCCTCGGGGGCTTTTTCCCCTGCCATGCTAACTCTCCTGTCATGTGAGATCATGCCCCTACCTGTCCTGCAATAATGTCTGTTAACCCCAAACCCAATAACCTGACCTTCCCCACCCACCTACACACCTGTTACCACCTCCAATAAGCTCCGTATCATATCTACTATTAGACCACTTCTGTTCATTCCCTGCCAGATCTGTCATGCTTCTAAACTCAGCTTGCCTTGATTTAGCTTGTTATGACAACCAGCCTGTCTTTTGGTAACCTGATCAAGAGAGGTGATCATCTATTGGATACTGTGGGTTTTTATCATTACCCTTGCCTCCATAGTTTATACCTTTATTGGACTGGTCTTGAGTTCACTGTATGTA